CGGACTTGAGTCCTACCCCCCCTAAATCGATGGTTCTGAATCCAATGGCGATGTCAATTTTACCAAATTCAGCCTCTAACTACTCGGATCGAGATCCTCAATTCTGGTCGAATTTCAAACCTTGAATCTTTGTTTTTCAGCCATGGATCTTCAAAATTGATTGGGGGCTTTCATTACCGTTGAGATTCTGAGCATTTTGACACCAAGATCACGAGGATCCAATGGCTAGATCGTCGGAACCATCCTCCCACTTTTCTCACGGCGGCGGCGGCTCATTTTCCGGCAAGACGACTGCGGTGACCACGGCTGGTGGCCCAGAATGACTCACTGACTCCCTCTGAAGCTAATGGGCTGGGCGGTGTCGTTCACATCGGCCGGAGGAGGGAGATTCGTGGGCGGCGGCGGCGAGGAATCCGGCCACCACGGGCGGTGGTGCTCCGGTCAGGATCAAGCCGTGTTGCTGGTACCATTTTCTTCGTCTCTTCACTCTGAGTCTATTGGGACCGGAATCACCTCGATCGGACACCGGACGGCGAAGATATCACGATCGGAAGTTTTTGAGATTTTTCAAAACTTTGACCGGCGAGTGTGGCGGTGTCCGGCGGAGTTGGCGGCCGTAAGACACCAATCCGGACTCAGCTCGATGAGAGCTTTCCAATGAGCCGGGAGGTGTCAAAAATGGACGCCGGAATCTTCCCCGGATGTGTACGGCCGTACACATGGAAGGAGAGAGAAAGAAGAGAGAGAAAGTGGGTTTTTGTGTTTGAATTTTTCTGATGAGGTGGAACACGCCCAAGTGGCATTAATACTAGTTTGGACTCACTGAGTGTCCAATTATCCGTTTCTGATCCGTACATTTCTTAAAAATTACATTTTGGCTCAGATTTTTAAAATTTTCACACTTAAGTCTTTAAAAATTACAAATTAACCCCATTTCAAATTTTGGGTTTTACCACTCCTTCCCCCTTAGGAGATTTTGTCCTCGAAATTAAAATTACATCTGTACTCAGAATAGATAAGGATACTTTTCCTGCATTTCTGACTTAAGCTCCCATGTGGCTTCTTCATCTCCGTGATATTGCCATAGAACCTTGACCAAGGGGATCTCACGGCGACGTAGTATCTTAACCTCACGTTCCAAAATTTGGATAGGGAACTCCTCGTAAGTCGTGTCCCCCTGGATCGGAATATCTGTCCACGTTATTATTCGGGATGGATCTGGTTCGTATTTTCGTAGCATCGACACGTGGAAGACGTTGTGAACATGGGACAGTTGAGGCGGCAGGTCTAGGCGGTATGCAACTGGTCCAATTCGCTCTAGTACCTCGAATGGTCCTGTGTACCTTGGTGCAAGCTTACCTCGAAATCTGAAACGAGAAACTCCACATTTTGGGGTCACTTTTAGGAACACAAAGTCCCCAATCTCGAACTCCAATGGTTGTCTCCGGTTATCTGCATAACTCTTCTGTCGACTCTGAGCGGTTTTGAGACGGTCATGAATAAATTGGACTCTTTCTGTCGTCTCCCGCACAAACTGAGGTCCAAGGTTAATGCGTTCTTCCTTCTCAGCCCAACACAAAGGAGATCTGCAGGGCCTACCATACAGAGCCTCAAATGGAGCCATTCCGATGCTGGCTTGGTAGCTGTTATTATAAGCGAATTCGGCATTTGGCAGGCATTCTCCCTATCTGCCCTCAAAGTCCAGAACGCAAGCACGCAGCATATCTTCAAGGATTTGTATAACCCGCTCCAATTGGCCGTCAGTCTGAGGGTGGAAAGCGGTGCTGAATCTCAACTCAGTCCCCAGAGCATTTTGTAACCCTTTCCAAAACTTGGATGTAAATCGAGCGTCACGATATGAGACTATAGATACCGGAACACCATGCAACCTGACTATCCTCTCGATGTACAGTCGGCACAGCTTGGGAACTTTATAGTCAGCTCTGATGGGGATGAAATGTGCAGTCTTTGTCAGACGATCTACGACAACCCATACAGCATCATACCCTTCCTGGGTCCTAGGTAATCTTGTGATGAAATCCATCGTTACGTGGTCCCACTTCCAATCAGGGATAGGTAAGGGCTGTAGCTCGCCACCAGGTCTCTGATGATCCACTTTGACCTGTTTACATATCGAGCACTTGGCTACAAAATTCACAACATCACGCTTCATTCCACGCCACCAATACTGCCTCTTCAAATCCATATACATTTTCGTGCTCCGGGGTGGATGGAGAACTTGGAACGATGAGCTTCATACAACACAGCATGCTAGAGATCAGAATCATTCGAAACCACCAGCTTTCCTTTCCGAAGGAGGAATCCCTCTGGACTTATCTGCCATCCTTCAATCTGTTCCCCACTCTGAAGCTGATTCCAAACTTCACTAAGCTCCTCATCATGCCATTGTCCTTGCTTCACCAACTGTTTCAAGGTAGGAGTTGCCACAATGTTGAAGATGCAGGCCTTATTACTATCCTCGTAGCACTGCAAATCAAAACTCCCAACAGTAGCCAACCTGTTCCAGTCTTCGAAGGCTAAGCTGGCCAAAACTCCATGGCTTTTCCGGCTCAGGGCATCCGCTACCACATTAGCTTTCCCGGGGTGATACTGGAGATTGAAGTCGTAATCCTCCATGTATTCTATCCACCTCCGCTGTCTCAAATTCAGATCCCGTTGAGTGAACAGATATTTGAGGCTTTGGTGGTCAGTGAAAAGCTCGAACTTCGCACCATAGAGGTAACACCTCTAAATTTTCAGTGCAAAAATCACTACAGCTAGTTCTAAGTCGTGGGTAGGGTAATTCACCTCATGGGGTTTTAGCTGTCGTGAAGCATAAGCTACCACTCGACCTTGCTGCATCAACACACATCCCAATCCATTCCTAGAAGCGTCGGTAAACACTGTGTAGGGCTCGTTGCTGCTAGGGACTATGAGAATAGGAGCGCTAGTGAGTCGATGTTTCAGCTCCATGAACGCTTCCTCACATTCTTCATCCCAAACAAACCTAACATCCTTTCGCGTCAACCTTGTCAAAGGCGATGCAATCCTCGAGAAATTTTCCACAAATCGCCGATAATATCCTGCTAACCCAAGGAAACTGTGAATCTCTGACACATTCTTTGGACGCTCCCAGTTCAACACAGCTTCCACTTTAGAGGGATCAACCGATATGCCTTCTTGAGAAACTACATGCCCAAGGAACTTCACATCAGTCATCCAGAAGTCACACTTCTCTTTCTTGGCATACGAGCCATGCTCCCTCAAAGTCTGTAGGGCAATCCTTGGATGTTCTGCATGTTCCTCCTGAGTCTTGGAATAGATCAAGATGTCATCAATGAAAACAATGATGAATCGGTCTAAGTATGGATGAAAGACTCTATTCATGAGGTCCATGAATGCGGCGGGTGCATTGGTCAGTCCGAACGGCATGACGAGAAACTCGTAGTGACCGTAGCGAGTACGAAAAGCTGTCTTTGAAACATCCTCTTCTCTTACCCTTAACTGATGGTACCCTGACCGCAGATTAATCTTGGAAAAGTATCGGGATCCACCCAATTGATCAAATAACTTGTCAATGCGGGGTAGTGGATACTTATTCTTGATGGTAACCCGGTTGAGTTAACGGTAATCCACACACAGTCTCAATGATCCGTCATGTTTCTTTGCAAAAAGCACAGGAGCTCCCCATGGTGATGTACTTGGACGGATAAATCCCTTCTCCATCAATTCTTGCAATTGCTTCCTTAGGTCGACATTTTCCGCAGGTGCCATGCGGTATGGAGCAATAGAGATAGGAGAGGTACCGGGAACCAAATATATGCAAAATTCAATTTCCCTGTCCGGTGGAAGCCCTAGTAACTCACTTGGAAACACATATTGAAAGTCATCCACTATCGGGACATACGAAGAATCGTTCGCCTCAGATTCTCCTCCTAACGCAAAAACCATTCCCAAGCTTTCCAAATTCTTTCGACCCCCGATACAAGCCTTCAAAACAGGAGATGGCGTTACTGCCCCTATCTTAGCTTGATAATCTATGACCTGTCCATTCTTGGTGAGAAGCGTAACACGTCTTCGGTAACAATCCACTGTAGCACGGTACTTACTCAACCAATCCATACCCAGTATGACGTCAAATCTAGCCATCGGTAGTACAAATAGATCGGCTGATAATCAGTTATCACCCAAAACTATACAACAGGACCTACAGATCATAGACACCTCGGCTATACCTCCCATTGGTGTACTAAGTGTTAGGGGAGGGTCATGCGTATCAACGCTTAATTGTAGGACTGAGGCAAATAACATAGAAATAAAAGAATGCGTGGCACCAGTATCAAATAACACCTGAGCCCAAGAATGAGAGACAAGTATCGTACCATCAACTACAGAGTGATCAGCCTGTTTTCCCCGACCAGGGGTTGCCGTTGATGTGACAGCATAAGCCTGACCATGCGACTTTCCCTTGTTCTTCTGTCCTCTGCCTCGATTTCCATGACTACTGCTTGCACCGGCATTTCCTCCCGAAAAGTAGGGTCTCTGACTCCCAGAAGCTTGAGGAGTAGGCTGATAACTCTGACTCTGCTGAAAACCTGAACCTTGTGGTCGTGGCTGGAAGTAATAATGTGGCTGAAGACCACGCGGTTGAGGGACAGAAGCATAAGAAG